ATTTATTTAGTAGATTCTGTTCAATTCAGCAATATTTATAGTAAACTTGTAGAACAAATATAAAACAGGTCTGCTTCCTAGAAGTGTTATTCAAAAACAGAATGTCATACTAATGCATCCCTGGAAATACATAACAAATCTTTGGCTTTCAAAATTAAAAACAAATGTCTATTCCAGAGGTCAATATTACAACTTGCACCAGAAATACTTAGCATTCTCTTTCAGCCTAAGAGGCAAGTACCATGGAGTTATGGTTAAAGCATGGATTCTGATGTCAGATAACCTATGTTGAAATCCTAACTTGACTGTGTATGCATGATAATCCAGGGCACATAATTTAACTTCTTCGCATTAGTCTCTTCAATTACAAAATAAAAGTGATAACATTAAATAAATGATAGAGTTGTTTGAAAAGTAAAATGAAGTCATGCATGCAAAGAACTAAGATAAATTACAGGCATATAGTAAGTGTTCAACAAACATTAGCTATAGTTAATATTGCTGATATTCTTTAGAATGAATGATGTTTTAAATGTATATTTTTATTTAAAAGGCTAAAAATACTCAAACAGTAAGTGTATCTTACCCACACACTTTGGTATTTCTTTACTCCAAGCACCATCACCTGAACAATGTATTTCTTTATCTCCTTCAATCTTGTAGCCTGGATTACATGCAAAGTGTACTACTTGTCCAAAATGGTATTCTCGGTCTGATTCCATTGCACCACTGATGACTTCTCCATTCTCTGGTGCTGTCACTGGTAAACACTTCACAACTGAAGAAAATAAATGTAATGTTTTCTAAAGGAATTTTAAAAACTTATTATGAAAAGCATATGTATGTATAAATTTTTCCCTAGGATAAGACTGGAGGAAATTATTTAAATTCTTTTTAGAAGCATTTGATATACCTGTTTGCTAGAGATACATCCTGCTAAGAAACAAGCAAATGGAATGTTTATTCCTGATATTTTCTATGGGAATGGAAAATGAAAATTACTACTTTGAATGCTAGCTTGTATTTTTGTATGAACAAACAAGTATTTTTAAATAATTAAGAAATATAAAGCTTGGGATAATTAAATACAACATTTTCATTTATGCCCCAGAATAATACAGCACCACATTCCTAAAAGATGTAAAAGCAAATTTTATGACATTAACTTCAATAGAGAAATCAATAGAGAAATTTTTCATCCTCTTCAACATCAGTGTCCAAAATAATTTGAGTACTTCTTTTGATTCTACTTAATATTTTCCAATTTCTCTAAAGTCAAACTTTATTATACTATAGAATGACTCAGTACGCTTGTTAAAATAAAAATTTTTAGGACAATCTTCCTGCATTTTCACCTTCGTGATACTGATTGAGTAGGTCATTTTTAGTAACCAAAAATTTTAATTTTTAACAAGCATCCCAGTTGATTTCAAAGTAGATGCTCTCTAGAACATTAATCTTCTTCATCTCATTTCCATAGATGAAAAAACTTGCATTACCTTCTGTAGTTAACAGAATTTTTGAATGATTATCACACTTCAGTCTCTCCATTTACTACTTGCTGTGGAATTAGGAAATACTGCTCTGATTATTTTATTTCCATAAGACTAGAGAGTTGGATTATTAGCTAAAAACATGAAAACAGAAGCTACATTTTTCTCATTTCTCTGGTAGCTTTATAGACCAGTAAGAAATAACAGAGCTCGCTCGTAGTTTATTCCTCTTTTCAGTAAAGGCAAGTTCGCAGGACAACCTCTCTTGGTGGGATATCTCAATCGTGTTCTCTACTTCAGCTGTTATCATAGATCCCTGCATTTGGGTGGTTATTGGGTGAGTGCCTCTTCATTAATAAAGGTGTAATTCTGGTCTTTATTTAGCTAATGATGCTTATATGCATTTCTAGTCATTGGAATCCAAAAGGAAATAAAAATGAGTTTTAGATTCCCTAATGTCTAATACTTCAATTATTAGATCAGGTCAGGTTGCATTTGTATTTGGCTTCTGAAACACCAAGAATGTAGTAATAAAAAGATGAGATTCCCAGTCTACATTATATGAGAAACAAACAAAAAAAATTTAATTAAAGATTTTAAGATATTTTCATGTAAGGCATTGTGAAAAATCTTGGATATTTAAGGTATTTCAATATACTTGTAAAAAATTTTATGTGTACCTTCACATATAGGAATATCATTGGTCCATCCATCTGCATCACATTCACGATAATTAATCCCACCTAGCAATTGATACCTGAAAACCCAAAAATAGCAGAGTGGTGAGATAATGTGTGCTTCTATGCAGTTTTAAACTCAGTGTCATTCTGAGTGTCCAGAGACTCCATATCAAGAAAAATTAACAGCTTATGCATTTTGTTTCTTTTTTCTTTGTTTTTCCTTCCTCCTCCCTCACCCTCTTTCTCTCTAGATTTGTTAAGTTTCTTTCTCTCTGTCTGTCTCTGTCTCCCCCCAACCTTTATCTTTCTCTCCTTCTTGGTGCATGAACTGGGAATAATCATAATCCTTGGTTCATGACAAACTCGTTATTGTTTCAGACACAGTATTCTTGTTTTTCATTGAAGTAGGTAATTAAATTCAATAATATAGTAAGCTCCATGAACTATCTCTAAAACAAAAGCTAAAAATATAGTAACCAATAGCTAACCTTATGTTTCCCCCCTCCAATCTTACACCATATTTCTGCCCTCCACGATTCTGCTATTTTCTGAACATCTTAGGCTTTCTACATAATTAAAGATAGTGCCCCCAAAAGTCGTCACTGTGTCATTTACTTTCAGCACTTGCTTCCGTCTCCCCATCTCTATCCTAGAAATTGTTTTCAGAGAATACTCAGTGAGTCAAACCTGCTGACCCAATCCATCTAATGTCGAACTTATGTAATTTTAGTGACCCATCAAGCCTGCCCTTTGAATCTAAAATGCTCTACTGGATTATAAGTTCCTAGGGCATGTGCAAAATGTGCAATCATTGCTAGAGGCTTCAGATCTATACATTTTTATGTCCTTTGCAAAGTCAAGTGCTGAACTTAAAGAGAGGACGCAAGCCTGTAGTAAAAGAAAGATTTCAGAGGTGAGGAGGATAGCAAATTTTAAAAATCCAGGCCCAGGAAATCATAACCTATTTGGTTATGTGTGATAAAATCAGCAGTAATGATTGAAGGGCTAAAAATGTATTTGAAAAACCTCCCTCAGGTAGTGACTAAGGAGAGAATAAATTCATAAAAAATTATACTTATTTGGTATCTACATTATCTCAAGATCTCTTCTAAGAACTGCAAATGTGTGTCTTACTTATTTTTCCCCACCAATCGATGGTGTACATAAAATGTGTCTGTTTTGTAGGAGAAAAAACAGAAGTCAAGAGATATTTTTATAAATACCCGTAAGTGTTAAGTGGTAGAGAAAAGCAGGCTTACTCCAGTGTCTAAGCTTTAAACTATTATATTTTAATGCTTCAAATTAAGAAAACCATGAGAAAAGAATAATGGTATTCTATTTGTAATATTTGATTACATTTCTGTTTATTAAGTATAAGATTATAGTGATCTAATCCTAGTTTTCCCATATATATATTTTTCTTCAAAGTAATTTTTGATCTAGTAGAGAATAAGGGGGACAAAAGAACACTGAGGACGTAGAGTGAAGAATTTGCCAATGAAAACCAAGTAGTTTGTTGGAAGGAACAGAGTCAATGATTCTGAAAGAACAGTATTTTTAGTCCGTGAGGTAAGAATAATTTGCAGGCCTGAGACATGAAGTAACACTAGTTGTAAACACAACTTATAAGTAGGTAAAAGTCTTGCTTCCATTAAATTGTATAAAATCTGTCAAAACAGTTACCATACAATATAAACGTCTTACAATTCATATTGTTCCTGATACATTGAACTCCCGTGATACTCTGCACAAAATATAATGTAGTGAAGATTTGTTGGGTGAATAATTATATATGTGCATACTTACTGTTTCCCAGTCTCCTATAATTATACCCTATGAGAGAAGTTATACTTTATTTAAATTTTTCAGTGTTAAGGAGATAATGTGGTATCCAGATATAATTATTTCCATCATAGGTAAATTTTCAGGTACTTGTGTATTACTTTTTTAAATGCTCATAGAAAAATATAACCACTTTTAAAACATATAATGTAGTATAGTTCCCAATTACTATCTTAATAATAAGCCTCTTTTTGTATGGACTACATACCCCTCATTGCATGTATATACAACTTTTGCACCATATTCAAATGCATTTCCTACTGTGAGCTTAAAAGAACCAAAGGGAGTATCTCCAGGAAATCCACAGGGCCTTTCTAAAATGGAAAAAAGATATGAATTAGTATGGAATAACAAGGAATATATTTTATATAGGAGTGGGGGAACAAGGATATTTGATATTATATAAGACAGATTGAATATAAGGAAAATTAAATATGGCAAAGCTATTATTTCATAATTGAACTTAAACTATATGCTTGCTCTTTGAATTTTGGAGGATGACCACCCGTTTTTAAAACTGATGATGTATTGGCCAGGCATGGTGGCTCACGCCTGTAATACCAGCACTTTAGGAGGCAGAGGCGGGCAGATCATGAGGCCAGGGGTTTGAGACAAGCCTGGCCATTATGGTAAAACCCCATCTCTATTAAAAAACAAAAAATAGCCAGATGTGGTGGTGCATGCCTGTAGTCCCAGCTACTTGGGAGGCTAAGGCAGGAGAATTGCGTGAACCCAGGAGGTAGAGGTTGCAGTGCACCAAGATTGCGCCACTGCCCTACGCCAGCCTGGGTGGCAGAGCCAGACTCTGTCTCAAAAAAAATGATGAGGTATTATTTTGTATTTGAGTGACAATAGTGATATAATTCAGCCATAAATGCTACAATATTAAATATTAAGCATTTTCACAACTAAAAGTTTTCATAAACTTCACAAATGTACGAAGTACTTACTCTGACATGTCTTCAATGGATTCACAGCCACCCATGTTCCATGCCTGCACGTCATTATTATATTTCCGAGAGACCTATATCCAGGGCGGCATTTATAGGTAGCCGGAGTGCCTTCTGGATATGCTTGGTTAGGCCAGGAACCTGTCAGAATTTCTGTATCTTTTCTTGGAGGAGGTTCTTTGCAATCTACAAACAATAAAAACAAAATAAGTGCCTAAAGCATATAGTTAAATGTATGGTATGTTTAAGTAATTGTTGCTTTTAAAAATGCCTGTACAGTTACAAGTCTACCTAAATTTCTCTTTCTCTCTCTCTCTCTGTCTCTCCCCCCCCCTTTCTTTCTCTCTCTATCCCCTACCCCCATATCTATCAAGTATACATACATTTCTGCATGTAGTGTAAGAATGCACTTCACCTTATAAAATTTGTACCTACATAATTTTATAAGAATATTCACTGTAAGAAAATAGCCTAATAACTTTCCAAAGCATTAAGTATATTTTGTTATATTACTCTTAATTGCTGGCAAGCATTCTACTATTATTTCATTAATTTGGGAAATATTTATTAAGCACTATTCTAAGTTATAAACAAAAAAAAAAAACACTGAGGAAACAAAGTATCTGTTCTCAAAGTATTTGCATTCTAGTAGAGAAGCCAATTATTAAATAAGTAATCAAAGAGATGTATGATATGCATTACATGTATATTATTGTAATATACATGTAGATAAATTCTATTTGCAAAAATGAAGATAAGCTAACACAAAATTATATGGAATGCTCCAAATAAGATAGAATAGGATGGAAAAGAAAAACGCTCCCACTGCAAATTGGAACAACAAATTCTGTGTGCATGTTTATGTTCAAAGGTAAGTTGTGGAAACAAAGATAATTAAATGAACTGAACCTAAGTAGGAAGGACCTGTTTCAAGTAAACATAGGGTCTCTGGTCATTTTTTACCTGGTTATGTTTGTCAACTCTGCATATGGACTGAAGATCAGGCCTCTATTTAGCCTGAATGGAATAATGGTAATGAGGTAAGAAAGAACCAAACATGAGGAGGTTATATCTAGCATGAAAAGTTCTGAAACGTTGCCAAATCAGGTTGCTTTCCTAGAGTCTAGGTAGCTTCTTATGGGAAGACTGACTTTCCCATTGTCTCATAGAAAAAGTCTCAATAAGAAAAGGGGACTGACTCAAATATACAACTTGTGTGATCATCATAACATGCCATATTTGAAAGTCACTCTGGGTGATACATAAGAGCAGATGTCAAAACAGCAGAAAAGCTTTATGTATATTATATAATGTATATAATAAAAGCTCTCTCTATATATATGTTCACTTTTCCATTGTTTGATATATATATATGAGCCTTTGATATATATATATATACACACACACACATATATATATATGAGCAGATGTCAAAATAGCAGAAAAGCAAACACATACAAAAGAGCTTTTATTATGTATATCATATGCTCATATATATAATATATATGATGTTATGTGTATTGTTATATATATGATGTTAATATAACATGGTGGTAGCTTCTATCTCAAAATACTAATATATAGACACACACACATATAGTATACATATATACATATTTGCATATGTATATATGTGTATATGTATATACTCTGTGTGTGTGTGTGTGTGTGTGTGTGTGTATGTTTATTGATTTTTAAAACATAAGAAGGTTTATTGTTTGAGACTTTAGAAATGAGAAGTGGGACTGACTCAAACTAAAAGTGTTACCCAGGTCCCTCTGAGTTAAATTTTTGAGTGGCTAAAGAAAGAGTGAACAATCTTGTTGGTGAGAGTAAGTTATACAAACTTTTGTCATTATTTTTTTGTTTAAAAGTATGATTTGAATAAAAATTAAAAGATACACAAAGAAGCAAAACAACTATGAACAAAAAGAGAAAATAAATATTCAGTAGAAGTAGACATTCAGATTCAGATGCTAGAATTAGTGTTAAGGTCTTTAAAATAGATAAAGGAATTAAAGAAAATAGATGGAAAAAAATTTTTTAAAGAAATTCAAAATAAAATTGACTCATAATAAATCATGTGCTATCTTAAAATTTCATAAATATCAGAAATAACAACATGTCAGAGGTGTAAAGAATCAAATGAAAACAGCACAATAGAAACTTATTAAACTTAGAGAAAGTGTAATGTAAAAATATCCAAACTGAAGTATAGAAAAACAAAAGTGTATAAACAACCACAAACAAAACAGAGTAAAAAAATGTGTGGTGTAGAGTCAAGTGATAAAACATGTTTTATTGAAATTCTAACAATAGAAGAGAAAATGAACATAGGCAGTATTTAAAGAAACAATAGCTGAAAGGTTTCCAGAATTGATGAAAGAAATAAACTCACAAAATTGAAATTTCAACAAACCCCCAAAATGCTATATACCAAGAAAACCTAAACTGATACTCTGCTGAAAACCTAAGATTAAAGGCAAACTCTTAAAAGCAGACTATATTAGTCCATTTTTGTACTGCTATAAGGAAACACCCAAGACTGGGAAATTTATTTTAAAAAGAGGTAAAATTGACTCACAGTTGCACATGGCTGGGGAAGCCTCATGAAAATTACAATCATGGGCTGGGCGCGGTGGCTCACGCCTGTAATCCCAGCACTTTGGGAGGCCGAGGCGGGTGGATCACGAGGTCAAGAGATTGAGACCATCCTGGTCAACATGGTGAAACCCCGTCTCTACTAAAAATACAAAAAATGAGCTGGGCATGGTGGCGCGTGCCTGTAATCCCAGCTACTCAGGAGGCTGAGGCAGGAGAATTGCCTGAACCCAGGAGGTGGAGGTTGCGGTGAGCCGAGATTGCGCCATTGCACTCCAGCCTGGGTAACAAGAGTGAAACTCCATCTCAAAAAAAAAAAAGAGAAAATTACAATCATGGTGGAAGGGGAGGCAGGGACCTCTTCACATGGTGGCAAAAGAGAGAAATGCAAACAGGGAAAATGCCAGATGCTTATTAAACCATCAAATCTCATGAGAACTCACTCACTATCATGAGAACAGCATGGGAGAAACTGTCCCCATGATCCAATCACATCCCACTGGGTCCCTCCCTCAATACACAGAGATTATGGGGATTGCAATTTAAGATGAGATTTGGGTGGGGACACAGAGTCAAACCATATCATTCTGCCTCTTGGCTGCTCCAAAATCTCATGCTCTCACATTTCAAAACACAATCATGCCTTCCCAACAGCTCTCAAAGTCTTAACTCACTCCAGCATTAACCCAAAAGTCCATGTCCAAAGTCTCATCTGAGACAGGGCAAGTCCTTTCCAAATATGAGCTTATAAAATCAAAAGCACATTAGTCATTTACAAGATACAATGGGAATACAGGCATTGGGTAAATGCTCCCATCCCAAATAGGATAAATTGGCCAAAGGCTCTATGAAAGTCTGAAATCCAATTGGGCAATTATTGAGACTTAAAGTTCCGAAATAATTTCCTTTGATTCTATGTCTCACATTCAGGTTACACTGATGCAAGAGGTGAGTTTCCACAGCCTTGGGAAGATCTGCCCCAATAATTTTGCAGGGTAAGGCCCCTCTGCCAGGGCTGCTTTCACTGCTGGCATTGAGTGCAAGCTGTCAGTGGATCTACCATTGTGAGGTCTGGAGAATGGGTGGCCCTCTTCCCACAGCTCCATTATGTAGTGCTCCAGTGGGGCCTTTGTGTGGGGGCTCCAATCCTATATTTCTCTTCCTCATTGACCCAGCAGAGGTTCTCCATGAGGGCTCCTCCCTTGCAACACACCTCTGCCTGGACATCTAAGCATTTCCACACATCCTATGAACCTAGGTGGAGGTTTTGGATTCTGTGTACCCACAGGACCAACACCATGTGAAAGCTGCCAAGGCTTAGGACTTTCATCCTCTGAAGTAAAAGCTCAAGCTGTATGTTGGCCCCTTTTAGCCATGGCTGCAGCTGAAGCAGCTAAGACACAGGCCACCAAGTCCTAAGAATGCACACAGCAGTGGGGCCCAGGCCTGCAAAACCATTCCTTCCTAGGCCTCTGGGTCTGTGATGGGAAAGGCTGCCTCAAAGATCTCTGATACTCCCTGAAGATATTTTCCCCTTATTTTGGTGATTAACATTTGGTTCATTTTTTATGCAAATTTCTGCAGTGGGCTTGCATTTCTCCCAAGAAAGTTGCCTTTTCTTTTCTATTGCATCATCAGGCTGCAAATTTTCCAAATGTTTATGCTCTGCTTCCCTTTAAAACATAAGTTCCAATTTCAGATCAACTTTCTCAAGTTCAAAGTTACACAGATCTCCAGGGCAGAGGCAAAATGTTGCCAATATCTTTGTTAAAGCACAGTTAAGAGTGATCTTTGCTCCAGTTCCTGTTAAGTTCCCCATCCTCATCTGAGACCACCTCAGCCTGCACCTCATATTCCACATCATTATCAGCATTTTGGTCTAAACCATTCAACAAGTCTCTAGAAAGTTCCAAACTTTTCCACATCTTCCTGTCTTTTTCTGAGACCTCCAAACTGTTCCAACCTCTGCCCATTACCCAGTTCCAAAGTCATTTCCACATTTTGAGGTATCTTTATAGTAGTGCCCTACCACCTCAATACCAATTTACAGTATTAGTCCATTTTGCACTACTATAATTACCTGAGACTGGGTAGTTCATTTTTTAAAAAAAAGTTTAATTGACTCACAGTTTCACATGGTTAGAGAGGCTTCAGGAAACCTACAATCATGGTGAAAGGTGAAGAGGAAGAGAGGACTTTCTTCACATGGTAACCAGAGAGATAAGTGCAAGTAGGGGAAATGCCAGATACTTATAAAACCATTAAATCTCATAAGAACTCATTCACGGAGGATTCAAGATGGCCATTTAGGAACAGCTCAGGATTGCTGCTCCCAGTGAAAGCGCAGAGGGTGAGTGGACACCGCGTTTTTATTGCCCACAGACTAGGAAATTCCCAGGTGGAGGAGCTCCACAGTTGCCAGCGCAGCTGTTTTGGCCAGCGTGGCTGTGCCTGCCGGCGCCGCTCCTTTGCCCCGCGCAGCTGCTTTGTCAGCGCCCCGGAGCAGCGGTTCTCCATACAAAATACACCGATCAGGGTGCCCTTTTGGCTGGCGATTGGAGCCACGGGAAGTCGCCCATTCATCC